TTTTTTCTAATACATCATTCAGGCTCCATAGTCAAAACCTAAAGACACAGAAAAGTTGAAAGTAAAAGTTTAGAAAAAGTTATGCCACACACATACCTAGTAAAAGATACTGAAAGATGTAACTGGCAGATAAAACCGAAAAATATGGATCATTTTCCAGACTAAAAGTAAGTTATAAATTAATAACAAAAAGGCAACTAGAAAACCTCTGTATGTTTAGAAATTAAGAAAGTATACTTCTCAGAGAAGAATCCTAACAGAACTTAGGAAATATTTAAAACTAAACAACAAAAAAATATTATGCAGTAAAACTTGGGTACTACCCAGATAAGGTTCAGAGAAATTTATAGCCTTAAATGCTTCTACAAGGGGGGAAAAAAAGAAACAAAAACCATAAAACCTGAAATGAGTAAGCTGATCATACCTTTAAAGAAGTTAGCAAAGGAGGCTGGGCAAGGTGGCTCACGCCTGTAATCCCAGCACTTTGGGAGGCCGAGGCAGGTGGATCACCTGAGGTCATGAGTTCAAGACCAGCCTGGTCAACATGGTGAAACCCAGTCTCTATTAAAAATACAAAAATTAGCCAGGCATGGTGGCACATGCCTGTAATCCCAGCACTTTGGGAGGCCAAGGCGGGTAGATCACAAGGTCAAGAGATGGAGACCAGCCTGGCCAACATGGTGAAACCTCGTCTCTACTAAAAATACAAAAATTAGCTGGGCATGGTGGCAGGCACCTGTAATCTCAACTACTTGGGAGGCTGAGGCAGAAGAATCACTTGGACCTGGGAGGCAGAGGTTGCAGTGGGCCGAGATCGCACCACTGCACTCCAGCCTGGGCAACAGCACGAGACTCTGTCTCAAAAAAAAAAAAAAAAAAGTTAGAAAAGGAATAGCAAAATAGACCCAAAGAAACTTAATAAAAGAAAAAATAAAGCACATAAATAAATGAAATAAAAAACACAGTACATACAAAAAGACGTTATCAAAACTAAAAGCTGGTCCTTTGAAAAGTCCACTAGATTGGAACAAACCTAGGTCAAGATTTGACAGCTTAAAAAAAAAAAAGCCATTAAATACATTAGAGTGGAAATTAAAAAGGCTCATTAGCATACATACTGTAGACTTATAAAGACAATAAAATATTATGAACTTTGTGTCAACAACTTTTAAAATTGAGATAAAATTAATAAATTCCTACAAATAGAAAATGCTTCAAGGCAACTTCAAAAATAAATAAAAAATAAAAATAGTTTTCTAATTGTTTTTTAAAAATTGAATTACCAGTTAAAACTCTTCCCACAAAGAAATCTTCAGGCTTACGTGGCTCCAATAGTGAGTTTCATCAAAAATTTACAAAGAAAATAACTCCAATCTTGAACAAGCTCTTCCAAAAATATAAAAAGAGAGAATGCTCCCCAATTTTGTAAGAATCGCAAACTGGACAATAAAAACAACAAAACAAAAATAACCCCCAAATCAAGGGAAGTTATAGGCCAATTTCACTCAAAAACATAGCCAGAATCTAAACAAAATATTAGCAAACAAAACCCAGCAGTGTATTCAAACAATGCCCAACTCAGATTTACCTTAGAAGGTAAAGATGATTTTTAAAAACCATTAATGTAATTCATTACAATAACAGAATAAAGAAAAACTCTTTGATCATCAGTAGAGAAAATCATATAATCATCTCAATACAGAAAAAGGTCTTTGATAAAACTCAGCATCCATTCAGGACAAAAAGAAAGGACTGTTAGCAAACTAGAAATAAAAGGGAACTTCTTAAACCTGATAAATAGTTTCGACAAAACCTACAACAAATAACACACTAAATGAATGCTGAAAGCATTCTCTTCGGGATTAGTAATAACACAAAAATGCCTTCTAAACCACTTCTATTCAGTATTGCACCAGAGGGGCTAGCCAGCATAGTAAGACACCCCCCGCCCTGCAAAAAGTATGATTAATTTTCAAAAGTATAAGGTACGGAAGAGAAGAAACAAAGCAGTCATTATTTGATGATCAGATAATTATTTATAGAAAATTCAAAAGAATCTCAGTATAAAGTACTAGAATTAAGGAACAATTTAAGCAAGATGACTACACAGACAGTGGACTAAAATACAAAAACTATTTGCATTTCCATACACTAGTAACCAATTGTTAAGAAATATAATTCAGAAAATATTCCATTGCACAACGGCATATGTTTACCAAAACTCATCGAATTGTATGCTTAAAGTAGGTGTATTTTATTGCATGTAAAGTATATCTCAAATAGCTACAGGAAAAAAGATATTACTAATACTTTTTATAACATCAGTTACAAATGTCAAGAGAAATGAGAATTAATCTAATATAGAAAGACTTTTCTGGGGAAAAATTATAAAACTTTACTTAAAGGTATAAGAAGACATTTAAATAAACGCAAAGACACATTGATGGAATGAAAGCTCTAATATCATAAAGATGTCAATTCTCCCCAATTCAATCTTCAGAGTCAATGAATCTCTGAACAAAAATCTCAACAAAATTTTATGAGGAACTCAATAAGATAAGTCTAAAATTTATATGAAAGAGAAAAGAGCAAATAATAGACAAGACACTCAGGAACAAGTAGATTACTTTAGTCCCTTATGGTAATTAAGACAGTGAGATATTGGCATAGGGACAGACAATTTGACCAAAGGAGCAGTATAAAGAACCCAGAAGCCAGCCTGTGCATATTTGGAAACTTCATTTTTGACAATGGTGGCACTGTAGTCAGTGGGAAAATGATGGATTACCTAATAAATGACCCTGAGACAAGTTATTATTCAGATGCAGAAAGCGAGGGGCTGGGGATGAGAACTGGATATTCTACATCACACCACACACAAAAATCCATTCCAAATGAATTAAAGACATATGTGAAAGGGCCATCTTTAAAACCTAAAGAAAAAAAATAAGGAGAAAGCCACTATAATGTTGGGGCAGGGAAAGATTTTTTTTTTTTAATTCAACACTAAAAACACTAACCAAAAAGGAAAAGGGTTAACAGATTTAACAAAAAAGGGATTATAGGCAACAGATAAATTGTGCTATGGAACACTGTGTAGGGGTGGGAGACATCTTTTTTCTCAAGAACAAAAAGAAAGCAATGAGAAACCACAGGAAAAAACAACAACAACAACAACTGTACAAGAAAATCAATCAGTTAACAAATCAACAGGAATGATTTTCAGCAATCAATGGTAGGTACGAAAGAAGAGCCCAGTGAACTCCAATGAGAGAGTAACTGCACAAAAGGATCCACAGAATTGTAGCACACTATGTGACTCTGTAATGAAGGATACTAACCGTAAATGCCATTATTTGGTTTTCAACTATTAGATTTAACCCTTAATCAACCTCAGAAGACTTAGTTACGGTTATAGAAGAGAAGACAAATATTATCAGCTTTGACAATATGAAAATAAGGGCACAGATGACAGACATTAGGAAGCAAAGGAAAAGTAAACAGAAAGTGCTAATATTCTCAGTTTACAAAGCAGAAGTCAAAAAGAAGTTATAAGAAATCGAGTTTTTAAAATATTATTTAAAATTAAAAAGGTAATCAACTTTAAAATGGTGATAAAATTATGAAAAACAGGGATGCAGAGTTAGAAGTGAGGTTGACTTCTTACAGCACAAGTCAGTCAATAATGTCTACAGCTGGCTGGGCACAGTGGCTCACACCTGTAATCCCAGCACTTTGGGAGGCTGAGGCAGGTGGATTACTTGAACCCAGGAGTTCAAGACCAGCTTGGGCAACATGGTGAAACACCATCTCTACTTAAAAATTTTCTAAAAATTAGCTGAGCATGGTGGCCTGAGCTTGTAGTCCCAGCTACTGGTGAGGCTGAAGTGGGAGGATCGCATTTGAACCTGGGAGGCAGAGGTTGCAGTGGGCCAAGATCACGCCACTGTGCGCCAGCCTGGGTGACAAAGCAAGACCCTGTCTCAAAAAATAAGAAGAATGATAATAACATCTAAAACTGGTAAGTCAAGAAATGGTGTTCCCAACATATTATTTAGAAATGTTGGAGATAACTATTAGTAGATTTAAAACCCAAAGGACAGTGAAGTGTGGGAGGGTATGTTGCATTCATTATAAGCTCTTCTGTGTGACTAAATTTTTAATTCACATGCATGGATTATTTTAACAGATATAAAAAGATTTCTAAATAATTGAAAGAAAAAAGGAAAAAAGATCAAGATTCTCTAGAGCTCATTTAGTTAAACTGCCTTCCATCTGGCAGGTGAAAGAAAATGAATGCCCACTCCAACAGAAAAACTTCTAAACACCTGATAAAGATTCATGATCCAAAACCCTACCAAATTTATTCATCGGGGAAGCATAGTATCATCATTTAATTCAGAGAGAAGAAAGCAGTTTAGAAGCTGAATCTTATCCTTCACTGTTTCTCTTCCTCCCTTCTTTCCTCTGTTTCTCAACTTTCTTGTTCCCCTCTAGCTCGGCTTTACTTAGCACGAATATTCAACTAAATATACATACAAAATACCAGTTTTATTTATAAAATATAGTCTTATGTTTCCTAATTTTCTCTCAATACAAAAAGAACAAATTAAGTTGATTTTCATTTCCATGTTGTCTAAATTAATTTAAGTCCCTATGAGCATTACTGCTGTAGAGAAAAAGATTTCTACCACTGATTTAAGGAATGAACCCAAAACAACAAAAGGCAACCCAGCTAAAACCAGAACAGTAATTACTCTTCAATGGACTCATGTTTCTGGAGACTGCCATATTACTCAGGCTTCAGGAATCAGGAGCTATGTTTCCATGAGGTTACGGTGATTTACAGAGAAGAAAGCTTGAAGTCTAAGTTCCCCCGATAGAAAGTAAAAACCCGAAAGTTGAATGTTCATGTTAAGTGATGTCTGGTTTTGATCCACAGAATTTCACAAGGCCCCCATTTCAGTGTGATTCACATCCACATCCAGGTATATACTTACACTATATGTGCAAGGTCAAGTGGTTTCTCTGGTTGCTCAGGAAAAACAGGATGCGGGGGTTCTCTGGTGGGTACACACCCCAAAGATTTACTAATTGCATGGCTCAGCTTCTTTGCAGGAGATTTCTGTGTCAAAGCAGAAAATAATAAGGAATCAACTCTTCAAAAGAAGAAAGGAACTTCAAAAAAAAAAACCTTGTGACAAGAGTGCAGAAAACAACTTTTCAAATACAAATCAAGTTTCATTACGGTCAACATCACTGGGCCCTGCAGAAAGGAATCTCCAGTTGTCCCAAGGTCACCTGTGGTCCTTCATTTCTGCAGTTCCTCCTTCATGTTTACAATAAAGTCACACTCTCAAGCAATGTCAACTTTCCTTCTGGACATCACTATGTACTCCTGGCAAGAACTACCTCTTTTGATGCTTCTGGATTATTTTTGCTAAGATGTTAATGTTAATTCCCCGATCAGAGTCAGAACGTTTTGATGGAAGCCAGGCGCAGTGGCTCATGCCTGTAATCCCAATACTTTGAAAGGCCAAGGCGGGTGGATCACCTGAGGTCAGGAGTTTGAGACTGGCCTGACCAACATGTTGAAACTACGTCTCTACTAAAAATACAAAATTAGCTGGGTGTGGTGGTGGGTGCCTGTAATCCCAGCTATTTGGGAGGCTGAGGCAAGAAAATTGATTGAGGCCGGGCGCGGTGGCTCAAGCCTGTAATCCCAGCACTTTGGGAGGCCGAGGCGGGTGGATCATGAGGTCAAGAGATCGAGACCATCCTGGTCAACACGGTGAAACCCCGTCTCTACTAAAAATACAAAAAATTAGCTGGGCATGGTGGCGCGTGCCTGTAATCCCAGCTACTCAGGAGGCTGAGGCAGGAGAATTGCCTGAACCCAGGAGGCGGAGGTTGCGGTGAGCCGAGATCGCGCCATTGCACTCCAGCCTGGGTAACTTGAGTGAAACTCCGTCTCAAAAAAAAAAAAAAAAAAAATTGATTGAATCTGGGAGGCAGAGGATGCAGTGAGCCAAGATCATGCCATTGCACTTCAGCCTGGGCAACAAGAGCAAAACTCTCCCTCAAAAAAAAAAAAAAAAGAAAGAAAGGAAAAAAAAAACCTTTTTTTGATGGGCTACAATACTAAAAGGCTAAGAGTACATAGCTTATGGATGTTAGCAGATTAGCTAACTAAGTCACATCCCCAAGATGTTAGGATATTCCCAAATAAACATGAGGCAGAACACTTGATATTAGGGGTCAGGTTACGTAGTCAGATACAGAGTACATTCACAATACACAGGCAGCATCAGACCCAGGGCTCTGTATTATGATATATAATGCTACAAAAATAAGTTGGCATACCAATACATTTTTCTGGAAGGTAGAATAATACACACCAAAGACTACCAAGTCTAAGATTTAATCATAAATATGCACAAAAATAAACAATATGGAACATTCACTTCTAAAACCCGTATTTAAGGAAGCACCTTTTATACAGATTATATTGTCCAGACAATTCCTCTAAAATAACAGTTATCTGAGATTTCCTTGGCAGGATATTAACTGGAAAAAAGTTTAAATATTTCATTCTGATACCTCTGCAGTTTATTACCATATGTGCCACTTTAATTGGAAAATAAAACATGGTTGCAGCTGTCTGCTTCGTCAATACCACATCCCCACTAGACTTCTATATGCTGCTTGTTATAGTATTTTAACACAAAATGAACAAAAATCTGTTTGCCTGTAAGACCATATAGGCCCAGTTAATGAATACTTATTTATAATAAAGACTGAATAATACAATTTCTTCAGAGCTTCATGTATTGGCTCCAAATCACCTACTACTATTCCCTTCAACACATTCAATTCTGGGAAATGTTGGTCAGGCACAGTGGCTCACTCCTGCACTCCCAGCACTTTGGAAAGCCAAGGCAGGTAGATTGCTTGAGCCCAAGAATTTGAGATCAGCCTAAGCAAATGGTGAAACACTGTCTCTACAAAAAGTATCAAAAAAAATTAAGTGGTGCGGTGGCATGCACCTGTAATCCCTGAGACTTGGGAAGCTGAGGTGGGAGGATCGCTTGAGCCTGGGCTGTCGAGGCTGCAGTGAGCAAAGATTGCACCAACTGCCCTCCAGCCTGTGCGACAGAATGAGACCCTGTCTCAAAAGCAGAGAAAAGAAAAGAACATTCTGGGAAAAGTCTAGATGTAACCTAATTTCCTTAAAAGTATATACAGCAAAACACAGCGGAAATTCTGAACTTCTCCCCTAACTTCTTTCCATTTTCTTTTTGCCCAACAAGTCGTGATGTGACACTGATTCTTCCCCCACTAATCCAGTTTCTGCACTGCCCCCAGAGATCGTGTCACTCTTCTGCTTAATATCCTTCAAAGGCTGATAGTTACTTACAGAATGAGATCTACATAAATGTCTCATTTTCCATACAAAAGCTTTCACACTTGACTCCTGCCTCTCTCTTTCCACTTCCCACTCACCTAAGTGATGAGCTGCTCACAGTTAACTCAAAATACACTGTGTTCTTTTAGGTCTCTGTATCTTGGCACATGCCTTTCCCAGGTCTCCCTTTCCCAATCTATCTTTCTATAAATTTTTTGCACTTCTCTCAAGCCTGCTGGTCAGCAACCCTTCCTCTGTGAAGAATTTCCTCACTGCTCCATATGACAGCAAGTGCCCTTCCAGGCTCCCATTTACCTGTACCTATTTCCATTGTTGCACCTTACCATGCTCTACTGCACTTTTTAATTTGTTTGTCCATCTCTGTTTTACTAGTGCTTCTGAGGGGTAGGATCTACATCTTATTCATCTTTGTATTTTCAGAACCTGTCCTGTAATAGAATGTGTATTTGAACAAATTATTTACCTAGATGAATTTTCCAGATTGCTTTTAACTACCTAGTAAAACCACATATATCTTTTTTTTTTTTTTTTTTGAGAACTACGAGTACAGGCAATCAGAGAACATCAAAGAGAGCACCTTACCTCACCTTTATAATGAAATATTACATCTGTCATTGATGTATTAATTTCATGATTTTTTGCTCTATCTGCCGTTAATTCATGCAATGTATTTGAAATGTATTATCACACAGACTACTTGAGCTCCATCCTAAAAATAATAGCCATGAAACAGAAAGGTAAATTCAATACATCAAGATGAATTCCAAATAATTGAAGCACATCAAGAGACGCTTGATATGTATGGGAAGGAAAAAAAAAAGGAAATAAACACATGTAATCACACTATTAACTAGGGTCTAGGAAAAACCAAAAAATATATTACCCTGAAAATTTTAATACTATGTACCCAATTAGGTTGTCTAAACATAAATAAGTGATTTCCTTAGGAGATCTCAGAGTGATTATGACTTGGGCCTGAAGCGAATTTTGATAATAGTTAGTTTAGGAGGCTACTATTAACAAAGTCTCTAAAGCAAGAGTTTGAAAAATGCGGTAAGTGTCAAGACAGGAGCATTAGCGCTTCTGTCCAGTCAGCCCTTAGGATGAGGCCAGAGAATTGAGAGTCGATGACTAAAAATTTCAGGAAGCTAGGAGGGAGAGAGGGCAGAAGAACAGCACTACAGGTGCCGGACCTGGGGTCTCCTACACTTCCTTTAAGCACCTATAACAGAGATGCTGTTTGAGGTCTCTGTACTTTCTCCCAACTTGCACTCTAAAACTGATTTAATGGAGATGTCTTAACTTACAAAGTTAAATCTCCTCTAAATACTATTAGGCAATTATTTTAAGTAGGATATTGCATTTTCAATACCTAATCCACTTTACCTAATTTCAAAACATGCCCTATCCTCTCTTAAAAATACTACAAGATTATATTTTAAAAATATACGAGGATGGGCATGCTGGCTCACACCTGTAAAGCCATCACTTTGGGAGGTCACGGTGGGAGGATCACTTGAGGCCAGGAGTTTGTGACTAGCCTGGGCAACACAGCAAGACTCCATCTCAAAAACAAACAAACAAACAAACCATTAGCTAAGTGTGATGGCATATACCTGTAGTCCTAGCCTCTCAGGAGGCTGAGGTGAGAGGATCACTTGAGTCCACGGGCGTGAGGCTGCAGTGAGCTACAATAGTCCCACTGTATTCCAGCCTAGGTGACAGAGTGGGACCCTCTCTCGAAATACACATATATACACACACCAAAGAGTATAAAATGTATATGTACAGTTTTAAAAGTTATTAAACAAACACCTACCTATTCACTATTCTGCCTGTGATACAGAACATTAGTCACTCTGAAGACTCCTGATGGGCCCTTATCCTAATACTATATCCACTCCCACTCTGCCTCCTCCTCTCCTGATAATCACTATCCTGGATTTTATATTAATCATTTCTTTATTATCTTATCAACTATGTATAAATAATACATTGTTTAGATACATATAAAACCTGTATAGCCCTATATGTATATACTTCCACAACTTGGTTCTTTCACTCAGCTATGTTACAATTTATCCATTTTGATGGATGTAATTACAATTTATTCATTTTTTTCACTGCTTGATGGTATTTCATTGCTTAATTACATTGGAATTTATATATCCAATCCACTGCTGATGTATATTTGGAGTGTTTCCATGTTTTCTACTCATTTGCAATGCTGGTATAACTTTCTTGTCCATGTCTCTTAGTGGCCATGTATAAGAATTTTGTAACAGTGGAAGTATTGGCTCATAGTGTTATGCACATTCAATTTTACTAAGCACTGCCAACTTGTTTTTACAAAGTGGTTACACTAATTTCCACTCTCATTAGCTGTGTAAGGTTCCTTAAACTTCACATTCTGGCCAGCTTTGTTATTGCCAGACATTTTAACATTTGCCAAGCTGGTGGGTGATGAATGGTATTGTGGTTTTAAATTACAATTCCCTGGTTATTAAAAAGATTGAGTCTCTTTTCCTATGTTTATGGGCCATTCATGTTTCTTCTTTTGTGAAATGTCTGTTCTTATCTTTGTCATAGGGTTGCAATGGATTGCCTTTTTTTTTTTTTTTAACTGATTTCTAAGAGTTCTTTATGCTTTTTGTATTTTAATCCTAGGAAAGTTATATCTCACAAACAACTCCTATTTT